TTCACAGATTAGTTGGATGGATTTCAGATTGAGAGTGGAAGTTGTAGGGTGGAATGTTTTGAGCTGGTGCTGCTGGAGTTAGTTTAGAGTTGGATAAGTTTAGTAGAAACTTGAATACAAGTAACTCAGGGCAGCAGTGGCTTTTCACAGATGGTATCCAGGAGGGAACAGGATGGAAAACCTGCCAGCTGCTCCTTTGCTTCACTTTTTCCATATTGCAGTAGGAGTGGGGTAAAAAAACGGAAAACGTTTGATGAGCACATCGAGATGTCACAAGAAGGCCTGAGACCAGCTTTGGGAAAATGTTAATTGCACAAACATGTGATATGTGTATGTTTAGAGCAGTTTAATGCTTGTACAAAGTGTTATCTTAAATTCCTGTCAGAGCTGTGGCAAGAGAGGGGACACACGTGAGGAAAACACAGAGGCTTGTGAGCACTCATACAGTCCTGCCACAGGCAGGAGAAGGGGATTCCTCCACAGCTTTCTCTTCCCTAGAGATGAGGACATGGTTCTTTTTTTCTCACTTTCCTTTTGTGCTGTTGGTTTGGTGAGATGGCTCCCAAAGGGTTGGTAGGACTCTGTGGGGATTAAACGTGTGCGTGGCAGTGGCATCCACGTGAAGCAGAGCAACGTTGGCAGTGTGGCTGGCAGGCTGCAGAGCAGAGGCAGGTGTGACTCTGGAGTTAACTGCACTCAGGTGAGTGAGTTATTTAGTAATGGTTGATAATGAAGGTTTTTTTCCTTTCAGTCTCCTCAGAAGTGATTGGCACTGGCTGTGGTTGCAGGGAGGCTGCTGAACTAGATTGGCATCTGGCTCAGGGCAGTGAATTCCCTCATTCTGCAGACTCCAGGAGATGAAATACTGGCTCCGTTGAGGGCAGGAGACTACAGCCAGAATTTTAACCATCTGTGTTTTCCAGGAGCATGGGAATTATTGCTCTTCTAGGCACATCTTTTTCAGAAATGGAGACAATGGGCCACAAATCTCAGTAATGCTGAGACTGGGAATGCTGATTGAATGCATCACATTTGCATTAATATATTGTTCATTCACATTCTGGCCATTGCTCTGAGTTTGGATAAGTGGAAGGGAGAGACAAAAGGGAAGGAGGAAAGAGGGACAGAGTTGACTTCCCCACCTTCTCTGCCATTTGCATTGTCCAAGCAGAAATGAGGGGTCTGGGATGCATCTAATCCCTGTTATATGCACATGAGTGCACTGTTGCTTATGTGTTCTCCTGCCTGCATTTAGAGAACATTCCAAATGGAAAATCATCCTTCCTAAATTGAGTTTATTAACCTGCATTCTTGCTAGGTCAGTAGTATTTTCCTTTGGTGTCCTAAAATCAATACCTAATGTATGTGCACTGCCACAGAATGACTAATGTGTGTACAAACATGGAAAAATTGTCTTCAATGTCAGGAGCCCAAAGTGTCATTTATCATGACGTTCATTTACCAAAAGATGGGGTGATGTCTTCAACTGATTGCCCTGCAACACATGGGTGAGGAGTGGGGGCTGCTTCCTCCATTAGGAGTGTAACTTCCATGCCTGGAAGTGTCCCAAGCCAGGTTGAACAGGGTTTGGAGCATCCTGGGACAGTGGAAGGTGTCCCCACATGTGGCAGGAGGTGGCACTGGATGGGCTTTAAGGTCCCTTCCAACCCAAACCATCCTGGGATTCTACTCATCCTTAGAACTTCTTGCTCAGCCTTCTTGATTGAAGTATTTGGGAAATACAAACCACTTAGAAAGTGTCAACTTTAAAAAAAGTTAACTTTAAAAGTGTTTGTAGCTTAGCTGGACTGAATTGGCTTACATGGTAATGACTTTAGAAATGATTATAGAAAGTTCAGGAAATGCTGGCTTAGAAGTTGATAATTGATATTTTGAAGAGAGCAGCTCTGTAATGGAAGGGTTCTGGGCTGGGAGATGAAAGGGTATTTTCTAGTGGCTCACTGCTGCAGGAGGTGTGCCAGCACTCTGGGACCTGCTCCTGGATTTATAAACAGATCTCCAAAGTAATAGTAATTAAGGCCTGGATTTGGAGTGCTTTTTATTATGCATCATGATTGTTTTGTGGTTGTTTGTTGACTAAAGCAAAGGGTCCTCCTCCACAATGGAGGCTTTTAAGCAGTGCAAATTGCCAATAATTGTAGAATAAGAGAATATTACTCTTTAGGACAAAATTATAGGCTAGGTTGAAATGTATATTTTAAAACCACACAGGACTATTACGAAATACAGGTTTTAGTGGCATTTAAGATGACTTGGAAAATGAAATGTGATTTCATTTCTAGTGACTAGTGAAACCATCTTGAATAAAGCTTATTTAACCTCAGTGGAGCACCTGCACACAACAGAAGGCACAAGGTCTGTCTTGTCCAGGAAATGAACAGTACTTGTAAGGGATTAAAATTAAAGCATATTTGAGCTGTATGTGAGAAATTGCAGGGCTGCAGGCCTCCAGGAACGTTCTCACTCGTGCCTGAAGTAGCCAGTGTGGGGCTGTGCCAGTGGGAGCTGCTGGGAGCAAGGAGATGGCGACAGGTGAGGTGAAAACAGAAGTCACAGGTAGGGGTCACCTGGCTAAAGGAGGAGAGCCAGGATTCCCTCCCGGGCTGGGGAGAGAACTGGCTTAGTATGCAGTGCTCTTAATAAATGAGAATATTGAGAGAGATAAGAATCAGAGGTAATTATGAACATTTAATGGGTTCTGTCAAGAAGGAGATTTTCAGAAAGGACAGATGCCTCATGGTCTGGAGTTCAGAGTCTCAGGGTTAACAGCCTCATCAGCTGTGAGAACAACTTATTTACCCACTGAATTAGTGAGTGTGGCAAAGGAGGAGACCTTGTTACCCTTGTTGTGGCCTCCATGGTCTCACAGGAAGAATTAAATAATGCTCCAGACTGACTAATGATGGAACTTCTGAGCACAGTGTGCAAAGTCAGGCAGGTGCAGAGATACCTTGGGATTGTCCTTAGAGGGATGGGTGATTCAGGAGAGGAAAAGGTTACTTGGCTTCTGGGATTGATTGTGCAGAGCCACTGAGATGGATCTTTTCAATAGACAGGGAAGCAGTTTTGTAATATTTCTGTGGATGTTTGTGATCTTAAATTACTCTCAGCACTGGGGTTTGCCTTTCTGCCAGGAGTGCTTGGGGGTCAGTTGGAGCAAGGGAGGTTTGAAGAGGGAGTTCTGCTTCATGAGGTAGAACAAGTTGTCCAAGACTTGTGCAGTCTCCACCCTTGGGGATTTTTGAGGTCAAATCCCCAAGAAACCAGCTCTGACCTTGTAGCTGACTCTGCTCTGGCTGGGTCCCTTCCTTCCAAAATTATCCTACCATGCTGCATCTTTAAAGGTGGATGGGGTGTTAGGGGAATGAGAGAGAGAAGCTGAAGATCGTACCTTCATTAAGAAGAAGGAAAGTTGAAAGAAAGAAGTTGGATTTTTTTTGTTCCTGTGAATACCTTGGAGGGACTGATGGATAAATATCAAAGATGCAAAATAGTACCAAAACAAGGTCAAGATCAAAGGACTGCAAGTTGGTTGGAAGTACACAGGGAGGGGAAACTAGAAAGTTTCTCGGAGGAATGAAGTCATGGAAGGAGTCTCCAGGTGGGACTCTGAGAGGGAAGAAAATACATAACAGTTGGAGATGAGCTGTACAGGGTTATGGAAGGAACTTGGCAGGACAGAATCTCCTCTGTTAGGATCCAGTCTGGCTGTCCTGCAGGATTGGTCCTTCTACTGGTACATTCCCAGTGCATTTGTGATAGGTATTAAGTGAGGCTTGTGAAAATAGGGGGTGAACTGTGGCAGATTTGATCATTTCCCTGTGCAGAATACTTAGGATGGGGTGACTGTGGCTGGCTGCCCATCCAGCTGTGCCCTCACTCTGCTCCTCAGCAGGATGGAGAGGAAATAAGATTAAAGTTACTGAGTCAAGATGGGATCACTCCCAGTTACTGTAATGGCAGAACAACCTTGACTTGCGGAAAATTAATTTAATTTCTTGACAACTAAAGTAATTTGAATGGTAAGAAAACAAAACCAAGCTAAAGCACCTCTCCCTGCCTGTTCCCCATTTTCCAGGTTCAACTCCCTGTCTTTGTTCCCAATTCTTCAGCCTCATGCTCTACCCGCATCTCTCCAGGGTGACGCCCAGAGCTGCTCTTCCTCCTCTCCTTCCTCCTCTCCCTGCTCCTCTGCCCTGCCCACTCCAGGGCTGTGCCTCACACTTCCATCACTGCTGTCCTGTAGTTTTCCCTGTTTTGAATGCACTTCACAGATGTGCCCCCAGCTTCAGTGGCTGCCTCACCTGTGGCTCCATGGAACCAGCTCCAACTGTGTCCCCAGCCTCTTCCCACACCTGCCCCAAGGGTTTGGCCTCCCCAGCCCAGCTGTGAAGCCGTTAAGTGGGCTCTGGGTGTTTCTGGAGAGCATTTTTATGGAAAAGGTGACATGGTTTGTGCAGTGCTGCTGGGTCAGCTCTGTGGCCTGCCCTGGAGAAATTCCGGTCTCAGCCACACTGAGAACGTTCATATGCAAATATTTATCTCCATAGTATTTATCTCAGTATTTACCTTGTGACACTGTACAGAGGCTTGTGGAGGTGGGGGTGGTAAGTGAAGGTGTTGTGTGGGCTGCATTGGAGAAGCTGTGGCTGCCCCATCCCTGGAGGTGTCCTAGGCTGGACAGGGCGTGGAGCACCCTGGGGCAGTGGAAGGTGTCCGTGTCCATGGCAGGGGGTGGCACTGGATGAGCTTTAAGGTCCCTTCCAAACCCAAACCGTTCCAGGATTCTGTGATTGTTGTGTTTGACTGCCTTTACACCATCCATGTTTAGCATTGTCCTGTCAGCTGTTAAGGCTTTAAAAGAGTCGGAGAGCAACTTAACTTCAAAAACTACATTCTCGAGTCTTGACTTGGACTTCCGAGCTTCAGTGTCACGATCAGAACATTTCAAATTCGTTGTTCTTTTGTTTTTCTTGCAGGACTGCCCAGGTTCACGAGCCAGCCGGAGCCCACGTCGGCGTACCGCGGCGGCAGCGCGGTGCTGGGCTGCGAGGTGACGGCGGAGCTGGCACCGCTGCTGCGCTGGGAGCGCGACCGCCAGGCGCTGGCCCTGGACCGGCGCGTGCTGCAGCTGCCCGGCGGGGCCCTGCTGCTCACCAACGCCTCGGACGCCGACGCGGGGCTCTATCGCTGCGCCCTCGACGGCGGCGGCGCCCCCAAGTACAGCGACGAGGCCGAGCTCAAAATCCTGCCAGGTACTCGCTGTACTGAGCTGAGCCCGAGGCTCCGGGGCCTGAGCTCTTCAGGGGTGGACATGGACACACTCACAGGCTGCCTGCCCATATTTAATGCTTCAGCTTTTGAGGCATTTTGGGGAAAAAAAATTTAAAAGCCACCGGTAATACGCTTCCATTGGGATGTGATACAAAGGGGGAGCCGACTGTTCCTTTGAGTATAAATGTTTGGGGACTTGTACATTTTTTCAGGTTGAATCCCATGTTTCGAACCCTGTGTGGAAGCTTTGCAAAGAAGTTGGTGCTTAGTCTGTCGCTCTTGGGATGCTTAAGCTGAGGTGTTTTTAATTCTTCCCCTATTCAGGAAGTTCTCACCACCACTGGGACCTTTGGGGCAGTCTGTGGCTCAGGGTCTTTGTCTGCAGGCCCTGAGCTCTTCACAGGGGTTGGAAACAGGCTGGAAACACTCACAGGCTGCCTTCCCATATTTAATGCTTCAGCTTTTAAGACATTTTGGGGAAAGACTTCTTTAAAAAAACCTCAGTAATATACTTCCATTGTGACATGATACAAAGACTGTTTGTATGAGTATAAAACTTGGGGAATTCCTAAGTTTCTCGTGTTGAATCCCATGTTTCAAACCCTTTGGAAGCTTCGCAAAGATATTGGTGCTTAGTCCATCGCTCTTGGGATGCTTAAGATGAGGTGCTTTTAATTGTCCCAGTATTGTGGAATTTCTGATTTTCTAAGTAGTGATACCTTTTGGAAGTCTCCAACCCTTAGAGCGAGTGATATTTTATTTTGGAAGGTTCAGTTTTGCCTGTTGTGCTGAAACATTGAGATAATTTTTGTTAGAACAGAAGTCCAGTGCTGATGTAAACTGTTGGCACATTCAGTGTGTTCTGTTCCCAGTGCTACCACCAGCTGTTCTAATACAAAGGTTTGAAAAGTGACCAAAAATAGGACAGGAATGTGGGTCATGCTTTCCCAAACTAGGGACATGCAGGCTGTCTTTCATATGAGGGTCCTTAGTTGTTCCCAGAGCTGTCTCTTCTGGATTAGTGTCCATTTGGAATTCTCATTCAGTTGTTACTCTTGGAGAGCTGCTGGAGGGAGATGCTGAGTTTCCATCTCTGAAAGCTCTCAGGGTTAGGCTGGACGATGTCGTGGTTGGCCTGACCTGGTATGGGCACCTTCAGGGGTCCCTTTCCAGGAATAGTTGTGTTTCTTGTGACTATGGCCCTTCCCTATATAAAATGCTAAATTATTCTGTAAAATACCCCAATTTTTACAATTATAGCTCTATTTTGAAACTGGGGTGTTGGAAATGAATCATACTAGAAGTAGGACTGTTCTGTTCAGTTGTAATCTAGCCTTTCCAAAGCCATCTCTCTTCTCCAACTAGGGATACAGGGTTTGAAGAAAAGCACTTTTGGAAAAGATGCTTGGTTGAATTCCTGTAGCTTGGATTGCCGTCATGTTTCTTCAGCCCTCATGCTGAGGATTTTGCTGATTTTTTTGGAAACTGAAGCTTTCTTGAAAACTTCCATAATACACTGATCTTTTGAATTCTTTTGGCTCCAGCTATAGTTTCCTTGCTTTTGTAATGCTTTGCTGAAAGTGATGAAATAGAGCTGTGTTAGGGAATTTAAATCATGCTGTTTCTTTGCTCCATCATGAATCCAAAAGTATCGATAGCGAAGTTTGGTAAAATCTCTCCCAGCAGGCTTTTTTTAGAAAGTGGGATTAAGCTGTTTGAAGGGAAAGCAGCCTTAGTCTTGAGTGGCCCCATAATTGATTGTTTGGCCTGAGAAGTATTTGAAAGAAGGATTTGAATTAATCTGTTCTTTATTCAGTTTATTCCCCTTTTAAATGGTTATCTGATGTGTGGCTGACAGTGATCCCACCACTGCTTCCCAGGCTTTGAAACACACCCAGCACACCCCTGCATCCTGGGGATTTGCATCCACAGACAGCGTTCTGCTGCTTCAACGTTCTGCTTTGTCTGCTTCCAGGCTGCCACTGAGCAGGAAGATGCATTTCTGAGCTCTGCCACTTTACAGGGGGTGCTTTCAAACATAGCACTGCAAGGGAAAAATGTCACTTAATTTTGGGATCCAGTTTCTATTTACCAGTGAGCTGAGCTCCCTTCTGGGCGCTTGGAGCAGCCGGAGTCGTGTCTCCAGGGAATCATCCTGGCTCCTTGCTGTGTAAGGATGGCTGCCTGGAGATGTTGGATCCCTGTTCCGCAGCCTGGCTGGCTCCACATGCTGCTCCAGGTCCCTGTCACTTCTTTATTCCCCACACACAGCAGGGCAGGCAGAGCAGTTCCTGCCAGGAATGTGGGCAGAGCCGCAGGGATGGGGCTGGCTCATCCAGGACTGCTCAGAGCTTGGCTACCTCTGCCTGCACCAACTCCCACGTGGGATTTCCACCTGTTCTGCTTCCCCCAAGTGTCCTGGCACCTCCTCCTGTTGTGCTTTGGAGCTCGTGTGTGCCCTGAGCTCAGTGCTGTGAACACTCAGTATTATTTTTAGTGTTTTGAGCTGAAGAACACCAAAACAACAACTTCCTGAAATCGCTGCGAGTATCACCTCAGGCCCACGTGAGAGAGAAGCCAGATACATGTGTGATGAGACACCAAATGTGCTTCATTCAGGGAGCAGGAGTAGAGTAGGTACAGAACACTCGGTCCCCATTTTAGGTAGCCAGAAATAGTTTGAGGCCTTATCCAGTTGTGGAGCTTTGCTGCCATAACACCTCCAAGCACCCCTGAGTGCTGGCAGTGCAGGAATTAGGGCAGGGTGAGCAGGGGTTACTCAGCCCAAACTGCAGCTGCTCTGTAGAACCCTTTTCCTCTGGGAACGGTGCAGGGCACAGACAGAGGGTGCACGCTGTAGTAGGGGCTGAATAAACATGCACTTGGTTTGTGCTGCTTCTTAAGGGTGGGAAGTAAAAGGAACAAACCACTCTCCAGCTTAATCCAATGCAAAACTCCTTCAGAGATATTCCCTGTTTTCATAAGGATGGAATACCGTGGTGGGGCATTTTTGTCTTGTGCTCCTTCAGCATGCATGTTCCTTGGTTGTTGTATTTTACTTGGGGTCAGTCACTGCTGCAATAATTTAATTTTCCAGCGTGTAAAAGCACTTCCTCAGGCAGCTCCCTGATGAGACCCAAGGCTTGCTGGACAAACTCAAAACCTGTTCTTCTCTTTCCTAAATCTCTGCTATTTGGTGGAAGTTCCTGTTTCAGGGCTGTAGTTTTGAGCTGGGATCGTTTCCCAGGGAGTTGGAAGAGTGAGAATCCCGAAAGTGGGGAATAACTTTGCATGTCTGGAGGAAATGGTAGCAAGGCTGGGAGAGGCTCTGACAGAGGCTGTGGGTGAGGTGGGGATGGAATCATCCAAAGGGGCAGGAAAGGAAATAGAGGTTTCATCTGTGATCTTCTTTTGCTGGCTGGATTTTGGTTCAGGGGGTTTTTGGTGGTTTTTAACGTGACCATTTTCTGATTTTGCACTTGGTGCCAGCTGTGTCCTGTCCTGTTTGCAGATGCAGAGGAGCCGCAGAGCCTGGCGCTGCTGAAGCCACCCTCGTCCCTGACGCGGCTGCCGGGGCAGAGCGCGCTGTTCCCCTGCGTCACCGCGGGGTTCCCACCTCCCCTCGTCAGGTGGACAAGGAACGACGAAGAGCTTCCCACAGATGGGTGAGTAATGGCTGACAGCCCTGTCTCTGTGTGATGGCAGGAATCCAGCTGGAGTCGGGATTTGGGATTAGTGCACACCTTCCTTCGGGCTTGAAACCCGGAGAGCAGAAGCTGATCCCAAACACTGGAGGGGCTTCGAGGCGCAGTGTTGGGATAAGGGAGTGAGTTCAGGAGACTTCGGAGCAGCCTCAGGGTACTTTTTTGCAGCCATTTGAAGCCAAGAAATCTTGCCTGAAGCCTGCAGGTTATTAAGAGTAGGTTACTTTTTGACTGGCACTGGAGTAGAAGTAGCAATTAAGGGAATAAGGACACTGCAGGGAAAGGAGGACGACTTGGGGTATTCTGAGTGTGAAGCCCTGTGCTCGTTCTGTCTGCAGTGGAAATGTCCACTCTGTGTCAGAATGTCCCACAGGAATTGAAGAATAAGTGTTTAAAGCAAAATGACACATTTTTTCATTACAATAGAATATTAAAACGATAGGCATGATGGCAGAAAAACCAGTGAGCTTTCAGAGATGTATCGAGTGAGAACTTACACATTGTCATTGCTGGTGTATGAATACAGTTAGAATAATGTGGTAGAAAATCTATATAAAAAAAGCAGAACAAATCTTATCAAGCTCATTTTTGTCGATGTAATGAACGTACTTCCGAGAACCAGGGTTGCAAACAGGTATTTGAATGTTTTCCATGTCCCTCAAAGTCAGCAGTGAGATTAATGGGGAGCCAAGTTAATCATGGAACAAGGAGAGGTAAATTGCAGTGTGGCTGACACAGAAAGCAGCCAGAACAATGCTCAAGTCTCTGCAGCACCAGGGATATAATATATCTCTTTTTGGGCAACTCTTAAATTAAAAGAATCCAAGGGCTGGTAATTTGAGCTGTCTTTGATGGGAGGCTGCTGTGGGAAATGACAAACAGCCCCTGAGAGATGGTGCTGTGTCAGTGTGAAGGCACATGATTTAAATTCAGGGGTTTTTATAAATGTAAGAACTCACTCTACGAAAACTGGTACAGACTCATTAGAGCAGCACAATCAAATTGGATGAAATGGCAGAATAAATGTGCCTGGTAAGATCTGAATTTGTTTCTCATGTATGTAAAGTGATGTCATGTCATGTCTTCAGGGAGTTTTGCTGCCCCATCCTTCTCTAGATTGTGGCACATTCAGGGCACAGCGAGGTTAAAGCTCTCCTTTTATTTTCTTGATTTTTGAGACATAAAGTCCAGATTTTCCCATCACTGAATACGGTGCTGTTGATTCCCTTTGGAATTTGCTTCCCTCATTCCATGAGGTTACCATGATAACTTAGGGCTTCACAGGTATTTTCTTATTCTCATAATGCAGAATGAGAAATTGTTCCGGAAGGCTGGAGCACAACATTAGTAAATACACTTGATCTTCAAATGTACACACAATTTGAACCAAGTCTAACCTGATTTTTCAGAATATTTAGCATTACTTTTTAGTGTTTTGGCCCTTTGTTATAAGAACAGGTTCCAGTTGACTCTTTTCTTCTTGCAACACTTACCTCTCCTTTTCTTAAAGTGAAATGTGTGCTCATTGTAGGCTTGAGTTTTAAGGTGGGCAAAGGTAGAAATTTGATCTTTTTTCCCTCTGTGGGGTAAACATCTTTCATTGTTTCTTCAAGTGATCAGACTGAGCCCAAGCTCCCATGTCTGCTGCTTGTGACTGTGGCTGAGCAGGGCAGAGATTCAAAGAGCAGAGAACAGAAGCCTCTTAAACTCCATTTACCCTCCAGCTATTGTGTTATTGGTGTGAATAGAATAACTGGAAAATCTCCAGAAATTAAGATTCTTTGTTGGAGAAAAGCCTGCAGTTACTGTTGCTAAATAGCTACCTTAGCTTGTTATGCATGGTCTGTTAATGTAATTACAAATTAAATCACATTTAATTTGTATTAAAATCCCCTTTTGATATAAAAGTACAACTTTCTTAGCGTGGCTTTTCTTTATCCCAAGAAAAAACATGATTCTTTTCATCTGGGCAGGTTTTAATGTCCCTTCTGCCTGGGAAAAGCTCCGAAATCCCAGGTTTGTTTATGCACACCCCCACCCCAAACATTAACATAAATATATGTAGGTATAGCCATATATATTGGAACATTTCTCCCTGTGTGTCTGGGCTTAGGAAACAAAACTCAGACAGCATGGGCAGGCTATCCCTAATTTTGACCCCTTCTTAAAGGGTTTTACACAAAACCTTATTTTTACTTTTGTCGTAACTGTGCTAATTAATTAATACAAAATAGAATGTTTGCCTTTCAAGTTGTATTCCTATGGAGAATTTGGATTGGAGCCTGTATTTATAGGAAAATAGATTAATTTTAAGGATAGGGAGGGGTGGGGTTTTGGTATTAAATATTTGTTATAAGATCTGGAGAAAAGGGAAGGCAATTAAATTTGATGGATTATTTGTTGAAGACTGCAATAAGATTTATGTTAATGGATAAATATGAGTAAACTTGAGTGATGGCAGCCTTGGCAGTTGTTCAGACAGCCTGTAATGCAATATATTGTGAAATTAGTTGCTGTGATAAAATATTTTCCAAATTAATTAGAGTGTGAGAGAAGGAAGCTTTGGGTGTAGGGTGAGAAACGGAAGTTAACTCAGTGCTCCAAGTTTGCATTGGAACAAGGCTCTTAGAACTCCAAGGAATCCCTCTGAATTCACTAACTTGAGGATTTTTCAAGAAATCTGATGGAGAGATTGCTGACTTCTTGGTTCTCCGTATGGAATGCCACAAAAGTCTAAGAAGCTTTCCCTTGAGTTGGTTCACTGATCCAGCTTGTAATCTTCATATTTCATAGTTTTCCCTGAACTTCACTGTCTGTAAAGAAAGGAGAAGACTAAACCCTGCTCTAGGTTGAGATGTAGCTCCAATTTAGAGCTCCAGAATCCAAGGGAAGGCTCCAGCCTCGTGTGTGGTCTGTGGTGGAAGGTGGGCACCTGGTTGGTCTTTACTGTTGGCACATGGACAGAGTGATCCATGGGCTCAGCACTGGGAATATCCTCCTGCTTTTCCAGCTGGATTGGCTCCATGGGCTCCGAGGCAGTAGTGTCTCTGCCAGGAATGTGGAGAATGCTGAGGGAAATGGAAGCAAGCAGGGAAGGCACTGAAGTATGAGGTTATTGGAACAAATCTTAGGCCCTTGATAGAAAACTTGCTGAAGTAAAATCTCCTGTAGTGTCAACATTGTCTGGTACAAAGGGTTAGAAAGGAGGTGTTATATTCAGGCTGAGTAGCTCTTCAGCTTGGAGCCAGCTTGGAGCCTTTGTTACCTGGTGAATATTTTTTATTTCAGTCTCTAGTCTGGCTGAGGATCCTGCTGTGTGCAGGGTCTGTTCTTCAGCAAGTGCAGGAGACATTTGTGCTTTTGACAATTCCTACCTTGGAAAGGGAAGTCCCAGGTGGCTGCCCAGGTGGATTTGTCCCCAGAGCTTGGGACACAGGCACAGAGAAATGTCTGGAACGTGATCTGCTCTGAAAACTTGGAGTGTGTGGATCAGTACGTGCTCCAACAGCATAGATTGTGTATCTTCATTTTCACTGGGACGTGTCTGTGGGAGAGGGAACAAATGGCACAGGTTCTGAAGAAACTGCACTAGATCAGATGGTTCATCTGAAACAAAACCATTGAAAGGACCTGAGCAATAACATTAGAATGTCTGTAAAGTCCAGCAAGCTGTGCAGCAGGTTTGTACTGTTCAGTTTAGCAAAATTTCATGTAATTGAGAAACTCCTGCAGAAACATGGTTGTACAGGTAATGCTTTCCTACAGTGAGGGGATTAGAGCTGAAGGCACTTGTGCCACGTTCATTTCTGCTGGCTGTGCTCACATGGAATCTGTGATTGTATGATCACATCCACATCCCTAATGCTGCCCTTTCCTCGGTGCTTCCCACAAAGGTGTGATATTCCCATTATTACATGTATCTGCTTGCAGAAGTCTGAGTGATTGGTACCAAGTGAATTACACTTGCCCGGCTCAGGAAAGGTTAAGTGTAGCAGAGTAATTATGGAGATTTTTCTGGTAGTAGATCCCACAAAATAATCTAATTTACTGTCTAATTTTATCTGCTGTACTTACTGAGACAGCAAATAGATTATAAGATGTTTGGGGAATAGTAATTTAAAAGAGGGAAGAAAAGCCCAAACCTCAGGGTATAACTGACAGTTTGACTACAGTAAATTAATAAAGGCTCACTATATTTTGTGATAATGAAACACAAAGAGCCTGTGAGTGAGGCATCCAGAGTAGTTCAGTAATTGTACGTTATGGGGGTGCAAGTGAGTGCTGTATAGAATGCATATAAAAGGCTGGAATTTGATTTGCCTCTTCTCTGACATCTGAGTGATCAATCTTTGTTTTTTTTAATGACACTTGAAATTACGTTATCACTTTTATATTAAGCTGATTCTTTGTCTCCGGTGTCTGAAATCCAATTGCTTCACTCTTTTGTGAAAATGCTTCATTGTCCTTTCAAAATTAAGATGTTTTGCTTTATTACAAAAGCAGCTTTCCTTTAAGCCCAGGATTTTTCCACAGCTGATTCATACAGAGGGAATCACCAAGGAGTCTGGCAGATTAATTGTTTTCTTCCATTAAACTTCCACTGAATCACCTATTGGGAAATTGAACTCAACTCTGGGTTTTCTGGAGGAAAATAATCAAAGGGAATAAAAACATGGCACATATTGAGATGGCTGAACAGGAGAATTCCCATAAATATTCCAATGCTACATGTAGTTTGTGAGATCCCCTAGGAAAGCTAAAGTGATACCTAGGAATAGTTTTTAATAGTTTCGTAGTAGCAGCTGCTGTCAGTAACTTTTGCAGAGACTGGCAGTGGTAATGAGCATCCTAAGGCACGTGTTGCTTTTAAGAGGGTAACAATGGATATCCTGGAAAAGGCATTAATGTCCTCCAAATGCCATGGACATGCTGCTGGCCTTTGATCATTCCTTCAGGATGTGACAGTGGCAGTTTCTGGGGCACAGCTCCTTCCCTGCTCCATGTCCCACTGTCCCTGGCAGATCCAGCGCCCTGCTTTCATCCCAGCCCTCAGCACATTCCCAGCTGCAAGAACAAAAAGTCAAAGCAGCTCCTTTACATAATAAAAGAAGGTAGAAAATTTCTTGTATGGATGTGTCAAGGTCCAGGCTTGTCTTACTCGGGTGGTTTTAGAGCGTGCTTGACGTGCCATTCCCACACAAGCCTGGCACATTTTTCCCAGCCTTTGGGAAGCTCTTCATAAGATTTTTCAAACTCATATCTTCAATTCCCTGCACTTCTTCCAGGGCAGCCTCTCTGTAGTCCTGGTGTTTCTCATGGGAACAGTATGGCTTTCCTCACAGAGCACATCTCTTCAGATGCTTTTAACAGTTAATGCTGGTTATGGTTTTGTTTGCTCTGCTTTTAAATATATTAACCAGAAATTTGATCATAAATCAACATTTATCTGATAAATAATAGTGAGATGAGGCAAAAATCTGTGTCCCAGCAATTTACCTGTCCAAGCAGGTCAGGATTGGTCCTACTGATGTAATTTGAGGAAAATTTCAAATGGAGAAAGCACTTAGGTTGATTTTTGTTCATTAGCCATTCCAAATAGAGACTAAAAAAGGCAATTGCTGTAATATTCATATATTGACAGGATTCAGTCCCTTCCTGCCAACAAGCCACGTGAGAGTGCTAGGCAGGAATCCACCAGGTTCCCTTCCTTTTCCCCAGACTCTTCCTTTACCAGCTCCATGAGAGCTGGTGTCTCTGGGTCAGTCAGCTTCCAGGCACAACTTGTCCTGGCTTGGGGTTCTTGCATCTTACTGGAAAGTTTATTTGTTATTTTAAGTGGAAACTTGGAGTGTTGAAGGAACTTGGAAGAGTTGTGTACAGCTTAGTATCAGGTGAAGGGCAGTGATGGCTGCAGTGGGAGGAGGATGTGGCTGGAAGCTGAGGGTGCTGCACTGAGCATGAAGGGCCACCTTTATCTCCCCATTCAGCAGCAAAAGCAGATGGATTGTAAGGGCTGGGGTAGAAACCCTTCCCTGCCCTTTGCAAGTCAGAGGGGGAGGTTCTGTACAGACCCTTTGTCACCTGATCAATCTGTATTTTGAATTTCTTTTAACCTGTATCTTATTCTGAAGTATATAATCTCTGAGGGATGGCTTACCTTTTCTTTTCACAGAAACTCCATTCCTCTGCATTGTATACTGTGCATTGCTGTCCTTGTGTTGTGAAGGCACAGTCTCTCCTGTTGTACTTCCCTCAGCTTTCCAAGCAGTCAGTCATTCCAGCTGGATCTGCAAAATGCCTTCTTTTAAATTATGTGATTACAATACCTCATTTTTCTTCAGTTCTGGCTGCTCTTGACTGAATACCTTGGATCACATTTAATTAAGAACAAGTGAAGCTGCAAGTGCAAAAAGATGAGCTTCCCTTGTGGAATTGATTGGGTTGAACTTAATTTTCAGTGTGAGATGTGATGGTGTAATTATAACTCCTCTGTGTCCCACACTGGGGTGGTGTCTGTGGCATGACTGTGTCCCTGTGTGTGCAGGGATCTGGGATATGGCCATGGCTGTGGAATGACCATGTCCCTGTGTGTGCAGGGATCTGGGATATGGCTGTGGAATGACTGTGTCCCTGTGTGTGCAGGAATCTGGGATATGGCCATGGCTGTGGAATGACCATGTCCCTGTGTGTGCAGGAATCTGGGATATGGCCATGGCTGTGGAATGACTGTGTCCCTGTGTGTGCAGGGATCTGGGATATGGCTGTGGAATGACTGTGTCCCTGTGTGTGCAGGGATCTGGGATATGGCCATGGCTGTGGAATGATCATGTCCCTGTGTGTGCAGGTCTGGGCGCTTCCAGCTGCTGGCCGGGGGTACCCTGGAGATCCGGGACGTGGCCGAGGCCGATGCCGGGACCTTCACCTGCGTCGCTGAGAGCGGCAATGACACCCTGGAGGCCCAGGCAGAGCTGACAGTCCAAGGTGGGTCAGAGATTCTAATTTTCACAGAGAACACTTCTCCAGATGGCTGAATACCAAGTTTATTCTGTGATTGGTTCAGTGCCCTGTTAAAAACTGAGCCCCGTCAGTACCGTTATAAATATTGTTACTCTGATTTATTATCCAAACTGCTTATAATTTCCTAAACAGCCAAATGAGCAATGTGCTTATAGAATACAACTTGAGGATGCTTAAAAGCTGCCCTATCTGCTCCTGTAGTATTAAATGTGATTGATACACTTGAAGGGTGGCCAAGGCCACAGTGTGGCTGATCTGAAAGTCAACCTGGTTGTCTTTGGAAAGGACATCTCTAATGCATTTTTCATAATCCTTAAATACGTTGCTGTTTTCAATGAGCTTGCAAGAAGATAAAAGCAGAGATATTTGGTAATATGCTGGTTTGTTGTGTATCTAACTGGTTTGTTTATTCTTGCAAGCTATTTTTACTAGGAAAAAGCACTGAAATATTGATAATGTAGTTTTAAAAATATCTTACTATGCATAAAAATTAAATGAAGCAGATGGGGTAAGCAAAGAAGATAGACCTGTTAAGGAGTGGGAAAAAACATCAGGTAAAAGTTTCATTCTTTGCCTTTCTTACATTCCATGAGGAAATCTGTCTTTTTTTATTGATTGGACCCTAGTAGGGGTTTCCAGTTCTTTCTCTGAAGTTTCATGGCATACGAAGGGTCCCTATAAGAGCTTAGCTGACTTAGTTTATTGTGGACTGTGGGGCTACAAAGTTGGTCTAAAAAGTAATTCTTAGGGGAAAAATTTATTCACTGAACATCTATAAATGAGGGGTTTTCTATAGACAAAAGGAAAGGTTTTCTGACCAAAAGGAAGTGCTGAGACTCAATCTGGTCATGCAGAAAACTCCACATTTTTCTTACCTTGTATCTTGGCCAAAAGAACAAAGATTTGGTGCTCTGGCTTTGGAAATAGCTCCAAGCTTTAGGCTTCAGAACACTTTACAATGGCTTCAAGCAGCTCACTGTGTGCTGTGTTTAATTCAGTTCCAGCCTCTCTATTTTACAGAATTGGTTCTGTGTTTTATGGGCAGTGACAGCAATTAATAACATTAATGATATGATGCAATTAAGCAGGTTGTGGATAAAGCTGAGAGGAGCCTTAGTGCAGGACATCCAGCCAGGTCACCTGGGGATGAAAGTGAATTGGAGACAACTCTTTTGCTCCTTATCTGAACCATTGTAAAGGATTTCTTTATTTGGTTGTGAAGATTTACAGTGGTTTTTGGCAGACCTTCCATGCTGTTTTTTTGTTATGCACCTGGCACTGGAAAGAAAATCCTTTATGCTTGAATATTAAAATATGTTAAAGATTTTACAGTGCATCTGATAGTGACATGTCTGATTTTACTTCTTAGTTCTAATCTTAATTCTACTTGCCTTGAAGGGTCACTGTAGGGAGTAATTGTATTTCTGCATTACTGTAGTTTGGTGCAGGGTTGAAAAGCTTGAATAACTGTTACCTGATCCCTGGATCATTTTCTTCTAGACCAAAGAAATTGTCATCTCTCCCCACCTAATAACAGCATGATTTTGCTTAATTTAAGTTCTTTCTGCCATTCTTGGAAATTAGTCTGGCAGCATTTCAGACAAGAAATCCATTTTTTTGGGTACTAACTCCCTTCTGTATTTTTCTGCAGCTCTCCTTGAAGCCCTTGTTTTTTCTAAGAGGTTTCACTCTTTACTGGGGGTGGTGCTCTGGCAGCCAATCTTTCTCCTTCTAATAACATTTCCCCATGGGAGTTCAGAGATGGAATTGTGTGCCAAGGAGGTGATGCCATTGCTTGGCAGTGTTAGGGCAGTGAAACTGGAGAGGTGTTCCTGTGGCTGCCTCTCAGCTGAGATTTCCCAGCAGTGCCAGGTTTGGGCTGACTGAAGTTTGCAGGCAGAAACAACCTGCTTTATCCACTTGTAAGTTTGACTCAAAAGAATGCTCTTAAAGGTCACTTTGCTCCATGACCAGCTTTTCTGTGTCCTCTAACGAGGATACAAAGCCCTGCAAGAACACGAGTGTCTCTGGTGTGGTGCTGGCCACTGGAATATTCCTTCCATGGCAGTGGGGATGAAATTGCTGGCCATACCTAGGGGGAGGGTGCTCTCAGGTTTGTCACACTGGGCCTGTGCTCAGCTGGCAGGTAAATACCTGAGTTTTACTGTGGGTTTGTGTGAGGTACGAGCGAGGTACTTGGGGAAAGCTTATTCCAATTTATATGGGACTGTACAGTCACTAATCCTGGGAGTTCCTGGGGTGTTTTTGCTTACTTTTGGCACCATTTTCAATTAATAAGTGATACATTCAGTGCAGTTACTCAGATCCTGTCGGTAACACTTAAGGATATTACCAGTTTCATGTACCTGGAAATAGTTGAAACCCTGTGTCATAAATAAAAGGTGCTAGAGGAGCCTTCTATTGCCCTAATGGTGGGTTTGGAAAAATGATTGGGATTTGTTTCCCTACACACATCACAGAAGGACTGAATCAGGAAAATGACCTTTACCTTGACTTGAAAGGTACTTAAGAGTCCAGAAGAATTCTACAAAAAGTTCTGTCCTCAGTCTCTTTATCTGCATTGTGTATCTGGGAGGTAGAGTCAAGAAATTTCCTTCCCTTTGGAAGGGAATTTTGGCTGCTCCATTCCCTGCAGTGTCCAAGGCCAGGCTGGACAGGGCTTGGAGCAGCCTGGGCTGGTGGAAGGTGTCGCTGCCCTTGGCAGGGGGTGAACGTGACCTGTCAGGTCCCTCCCAACCCAAACCATTCAGTGATTCTGTGTAATTGCAAACTGGAGGTTTCCTGCACCCACTGGTCACGCACTGAACTTTTGCCTGCTGCATCTGAGGAGTGGTTTCATGTGGGAGAGAGCAGGGAATGTCCCAGGGAAAGCCGGTGGCTGAGAGAGTCTCAGCCCCTAAAGCTGGACATTGCTGAATCCCGTCCACAGCTGAGGCAGGGCCAAACACTGAACCTTTAAAAGGTGGAATGGATAAAACATGTGTGCACCTTTGTGCCCAGAATATCACAGGGGATGGAAAAGGGATGTCCTCGGTTTTCCTTGGGTGCAAAAGCTGGTGTCACCACAGTCCAGGCAGGGACAGGCACTTCCCGCGGTGGAGGCAAGAATTTGGTGCCTGAAAAGTCACCTCTGTCTTGGCTGTAGTGACAGTGCTCTCCCCTCGCTGTGGGTGCTGCTGCCAGGTTATTTACAACACCTGTAATGAACTCAGAGCACTGGAAATATCTGTTTTGCTCTCCCCAGTCATGAAAGAATCTGTAGCGTTTCCCTCAGATAAGAGTGGGAAGTGATGACGGCAGAGCTGGGGAAACAGGTAGTTACTGTATTTAATCTGCTCAGCCTGGAAGAGCCAGAGTGGCAGTTAAATACTGGGAAGGTCATGAGTTCAGCCTTCAGCTGGGCAATATTTCAAACTGATGGCTGTGCCCAGCACCCTGGGGCTTTGTGCAGGGGCTGGGACTGAGTGAGGTCACCACAGGGGCTTCCTGTAGCCTGCCTTGGTGCTGGGTGGGGACAGCAGCTTGGGGGGACTTTCTCTTCCTGGTGAAATATTTACTGCAGTTAATAATGAACCAGAAAATCATAAACAAACCCCAAAAAAATTCCATTTTCATTCTCCTGTAAAATTGGCATGGCAGGTCTGAAGCCTGTAAAATAAATAAATCCCTGTGTTTGTGGGAGAAGAGTGAGAGTTGCTCTTTGCTGTTGTTTGCTACTGCCTTTCAGTGGATTTTTGGAATAGTAGAAAGTCAACTTCTGAGTTGTCTGGGACAGCATTCGGTGTCTGATAGTGTATCTTAAGTATTATGCATAAATGTCTTGCTGTGTTAACGTAACAAAATCTAAAAATAAAGCCAGAGACGTTTCTTTTGGGGTATCTGTAATGATAAATCAGAGACTGCATGTGGCATTTGGCTGGTCACAGCCTCATTCGTGCTGCCAGAGCAAATTGTATGGAAAAAACCAAATGCAGAAGTGTTTTGATGGAATTGTCCACTTTGTGCTTCAGAAGGAAGTGCTGGAAATGACAAGGCTTACAGCAATTGCAAAGCCTTATTCCAGCAGAAAATAGGTATTTTGGAGTGTTGGTCCTGCAGCGTCAGGGAGCAGTGATTTCTCTGTTCTGGGGGCTTTGGCAGGATTGCCTCACCTTGATTTTCCTGGTGCCTTTGCTCTTGCTGGGATGGGGTCTCTAGTACTTTGATTACTCCTGGCAGGTAATTATTGTAAATTTTAAATTGAAGATTTGGGCTTAAAAACTAGTTGTGATTATACATCAATTAGTATATGACTTGTTATTAAAATAAAAGAACGTACCAGGATGTGTGAGGCAAGTCAAGACTTTCTTTAGAACAAAATCAAGACAGCTGCAGAAGGGAGAGCAGCCTGAATGTGAAGATGCCTGGGTTTGTTTTCCAGGCTTCACTGGGGCAGCTGCTTTGATAAAAGCTGATGCCATCCTCCCCAGAAATTGTAGCTGTTTGCAAAGCACATTAAGTCCTGCAGCAGCAGAGTAATATGTCTGGGTAACTCTTAGTTTTGCATTAAGCTTTCATTATTATTGGAAACAATTCCAGGGAAGAAACTTGAACCATCACTGAAAATTGCTCAGACCTTTCTCATACCTTCTAGATGATCTTCATCGATTTCTCTCTCTAATTAAGCTTAGTGCTGTATTTGATAATGGGTTGCCCCTCAATTAGAGAGTCAAGAGATGCTCCATGAACCTGAATCTGTTAAAGGCTCACGTGGGAGACACAAAGTATTGTCCTTTTTGGGGGTCTTGGAACGTGCTGCTTGGGGAAGCTCTTGGAAGTAAAAACACCCCCTTGGCTTCATAGGAGTTATTTCTTGCCCTGAAAATATAATGTGTAATTAGTGACCTTTTTTCTGTAGTGATGCAAACAAGGGCAGTGGGTCCAGGAGTCTGGGGAAGGTGGAT